CAACATTTTGCTGCCCATTCCCTTGAACCTGCAAGAAGAAGAAAATGCTCTTAGGGATCAACTTAAAGAGCTGGTGTTTCCTATACCCAGTTTGATTTTGGATTCACAAAGGCTTAGAATATGGGATTAGGAAATATATTGTATGATGTGGCTGTTGTGTTTAAAAGTGCAACAAGTGGCACAATAATTGTGCTTCTGTTTCAAAGGGGATATTCCCTCTGGCACATGAATTACTAATTTTGGTTGTTGCTTTCTTGTTAAGCAACAGTAAAAGGAATTCAGGTTTTTCTGCTAGTCCTGGTTGATTGTAATTCTTTACAAGTCAAAATGATAAAGCACTGTTTGTAGTTCTGCACCAAAACTTTCAATGACTTTATTCACCTTGCCCACATTACGAAACTAAGCAGCTGTGTAATTGGCAGCACATTCATCACCAGTGTAACTTTTTTGGGCAGGGTAAGTAGCAAGCATCAATATTTGCTTGGCTAGTGCACCCAATTTGTTTGTAATATAAGCAGGGAATGCAATAGGAGATTCCTTAAAGGCACACTTTCACAGGTTAATCCCTATAGGAGACTCTCCATGTAAACTGATGACTTTATTGTGCAAGACCAAAAGGTTTAGAGTAGAAGAAAAGTTCATCTGACCTACATGCATTTTTAAAATATAAATATGAATTTTAAGCTTGCAGACTTGCAAAGTAGTTGGCTCCTCTTGTGGAAAAGGATTCAGCTGATCATGGAGTCCCACCACCCGCATTTAGAAAGGACTTCCTTATCTAAAATATCCTTATCTAAAATATAAAGGTACAAAAGATTTTGTACCTTTAAAGTACAATCACAGAATAACTAATACACACTCATTTCTGTGCATTCAGAACTGCAGCTTTAAAAAACAAAACAAAACATGCCAGTACAATTATTTTCTTGAATGAGAGGGCAAACTCCTGCATAGACAAAAGTTAAGACATGATCTATTTTATTCTATCCCCATCCTTGCAGAGGTAAGATGTATGGGAATATGGGTCTGTTTGCCCCAAGAAGCCTGCATGATCCCCTCACTTATACTCTTCCAGAGATTTGTGAAGATCATAGAAAGAGTTGAAAACTGTGAAGAACAAGAGTTGTAAGGGTCACACTTGTAGTCATGCATATGGCGCTACCAATGTGGTGGAGGCCATCAGCCCTAGCAGCCTTTGTATTATTATGACCAGTTGGAAATGCATTTTTTTTGGCCATGAAGTATGTGGATTCTGATTACTAGGACCCTTTCTGAGGGAGGGAGGTCTTGGCTAGGGTGGAATCTATTGGGGCACCATGAAGACACTGCCTGTGAAGGTTCTAGATTGGATTCCTTTGTGTTGACCTGCACATTCAGCACTCTGAGCACCCATAGTATAAGGTGAAATATCTGACTATAACCTTGGCTTAGTATCTGCCACTATAGACTCATCCTAAGTGGGTGCGGGCTGTGATCGTTAACAGCTCTGCAGAGAAGATTGGTTGGGTTGGGTTTGGGCAACTGTGATCTTGCCTTGCCTCTGGGATTAGAGAGTCTTTTCTTTTGCTAGACAGGTGGTTGGGCAATGGGTATATAAATATGCTTATGAAAGTAGCTTGGAATGTTGGTCTGATGTCCTCTCCCTCTGGCTAATGGGTAGTATGTCCTGAAGTAGGGTCTAGGCCTTGTGTTGGAAAGTGTAGAGGGAATTACCCCTAAGGTCTTGGCGGTAAGTCTGTCCATTTTTACTTTATTGAAGATTTTGTCTGTATTAGCGCTAAAGAGTTATATGTCCTCGAATGGTAGGTCTTCGATCCTGGCATTACCTGGACCTTAGCCAGAATGGGCAAGATGGTTCAGTGGGCTGTGGGTTGCACAGTTGACAAACTATTTAGCTGAAGAGATTAGATGTTTGGAGAGTCTGAATGAATCTAGGGCTAATGAATCTAGTTTTGCCAGTTTGCACTTGTCCTCTGGCATTTCTAGATAGGGTGCTATGCCATCACAAAAGAAAAGTTGGTACTTTGCCATTATGCATTGGTAGTTGGCAATTTCAAACTCAATGGCATAGGAGGCTTAGATATTTCTGTCTACCGCCTCTAACTTTCAGTCCTCCTTCTCTACTGGTGCTGTGTCCTTATTCTTCCTCTAGATGTTGTCAACCATTAATGAGTTCGCAGAGGGATGTTGAAAAAGGAAGGGGCATCCTTTCTGCTTGGTTCTGTATGGGTTTTCAATATACTGAGAGGAAGGAGACAGTGATGGCAGGGGTAACCAAGGTCCCATAGTGACTAACTGGGAAAGTGATAGGTCCCATATTCCCCAGGTGCGTCACTCAAAAGACAGGATCTGTGGCTCTAGGAGGGGTGCAGGACATGTCGATTTCAAGGGACCAAGTCATGTGAATAGGCTGCTCATTGTAGCTGTAAACGTCTTCACTGGTTTGGGCATGATGTCCTCAGGAGTGGATTCAGCGGTCATGTATTCAAAGGCTTGGCCATCTTCTTGTGGATTCCATGGAAATTTGAGATCATTTGGATGGAAATGACCTCTCTCTGCTTGGTTGGAACCAAGAAGAGCATAGGGATTCCAGCCCTGGTTGTAGGAGTCATGCTGTTCTTGGTGCAGCAATTGGGACAACATCAAATACAAATCTGTCAGATCCAATATAGGTACAGTGAGTGTGGGGGGGTGTTCAGTTGATAACAGGGAATCTTGCACATCACCCACTGATATGGAATTGGAGAAGTAGGGCAAGCGACCCGGTGGAGAGGGTGTTCTCAGTATGCAGGTTGCTTCCTTAACCGGTTCCAGAGATGGGTTGGTTAGAACCAAGTCCTTGGATTGGGAGTGGGACAGAGTAAACAATTTTGACTTCTTGTCCAGTTTGTGCTTCTGATGCACCAAGGAGCTGCATTCAGGAGATGTGGGAATAGAGCCCATAGTCTTCCTGATTTTTACATCAGACCCAAGGTGGTCAGGTTTGATCTCAGAGCATCAAATCAAATCAAATGTATTATTATTACGGTTCATGACCAGCACAAGATTAGTTACAACAATGTACGTGTATCTAATAAGTTTTAGAAAATTCACAATATTTAAAATTACTGAATGGCCTATGCATTCTTAAAATCACAGAACAGATTGAACAAAACATCTACATTTTATGATTCAGCTACATTCTGTGTTAATTCCCTGCGAATTCTGCATGATGCTGCAAGAAATCTGGCACAGGGGAGTGTGAGCTGAGGATTTGTGTCGGTCTCAGAGCATAGGAACTGAGGATGCTCGGATCCATTTGCTAGCAACAGAAGACAGTGTATCAGTTGGGTTTTTCTCATGAGCAGCACCAGACAAAGCCCTTTCCTAGATCCTGCTTCTAGCAGGAAACTCTATCATGTCAGGCTTTCAAAGTGACATACAAAGCAGCACAAGATGTCTTGCTCTTTGCCAAGGCACATAAGGCATTCACCATGGCTATTGGTGTGGAGAATTTCTGACCCACAGGACCTGCATTTTTTAAAGAGTCCTTTTCATTCCATATTCTGGACACCTGGCTCTAAGGAGGCAAGGTCTGAGGTAATTGCCAGCAGGGTTTGGTAGTTGCCAGTAAGATTTGAGGTTGTAAGAAAGCTGTTGAATAGAGCTTTGACATAGGACCCTCTCTTCACAGCAGTGGAGAGAGTACTAAGAGAAGTGTGCTCTGCCTCCTACATATTGTGCTGGAAAAGGTGTAAAACAGCATGGGGGGGTGGGATGCAGTGGCAGTAGGCATTTTTGAGCTTCAAAAAATTCTCATGGGGGATTGCACAGGTGCCACAAGGATGAACAGTTAAGATGTCCATCCCATAGCGGGATAGTGATTCTCTCTGTTGTCATATGTCAAGTCATTGCAAGCTGTTCATGAAAAAAGCAAGAACACACAATTTTTTTGGTTGTGCAGCTGGACCTGGACTGAAAAGACAAGAGATCAAGGAATCGAAATCACCAATACCAAAAGTGAGCATCAAACTGTTTCATAGGCTACTGTAACTTGCCGACTGATACACAGAAATGCCACTGATGACATCTTCTGCCACAGCCAAATATTAACCACCACATTTTGGCCTGGCAATTAATGCATAGAAATGCCACTGATGTTATCTTCACCACATTTTTATATTGAATAATGGGTTGGATCTGATGGTCATGGATTCTTCTCCACATTCCCCTCCACCCAGAAGTTCTTCCCAATCTTAGCAAAGTTTATTTCAAGGGGTGCAGGTCCTGTGTGAATAAATAGCCACATGGTTCAGGAAATTACAGTGTGTGGGGGGGAAAGGAACAAAATAACCCTTTCTGCCTCTTCCATCAGTACGGCTTTATTGAAGGAAGAGGGTGATTTGCCCCCTCCCTAACTGCATGGCAGGACCAACTCTATGGGATTCTATATCTTCCTTCACTTTGCTTCAGATGTAAGTAGGAACTGCATTTCTTAAGAGAACTGAGATGCTGGCAAAGTACTTGGTAAACTTGGCTTCCAATGTAGCCAAAGAGATGAGACCAAGGTCTCAGATACAACAGCACTACCATACACAGGGCAAGATGCAGAAAACCTGGCAAGCATCTGTATATCCTTTGCAGCAGCAGAGTGCAGTTTTCCGGAGTACCTCCTTTCTCTTTGGTTTCCTTTTCACGAGAAGAGAATTAAAGGAGCCTTGAAATGGTAACAAATACTGCTCTGCTGCTGGACTTGCAGACCTTGTCAAAGGGTTTAACTACGGGGGTCAGGAGGAGGTGGTATGGCAGCAGCCATGTAAGAAATCAAGAGGAAACAAACTGTGTGTAAAATAGATAAAAAGAAGGCCTTTGTTATAATGAACTTTGGTGTTCATTGTGCTTAGCCTAGCACTTCTAATAAGATTCAGTGTGGGAGGCAGAAAGGTGCTTTCACAGCTGTGTGGGTTTCAATCTAGCTTCCCAGAAGGGACTGGGAAACAACAACGCCAGCTACCTGATGAAATTGAGACCAAGAGAACACACAACTACATTGTTACCTCTAGTTCACGCAGGACAGGGTGGTCCTCAATGCCAGGGAAAAGGACCCTCATGGCATATGTGCGATAGTCAAGGTATGGAATCCCAGAGCGGTCCAGGTCACTGGTTAACTCATTGATGTCTGTCTGCAGCTCTGCAAAAGCTATTACAGGAATGGGAGAGAGAAAGAAAGACAATCACAGACAAGCACTGGGAATAGAGGCTGTGGCACAAGCAATCAAGGACTGCAAATGAGCCAACTCAGGGAAGCTCGTTTGCTCTAGACCTCTCTGTGTCACTCAGACATGCCCTCAAGCTGGGAGCCACTTTCCCAGCATGAGGGAGAGACAGACAGAGAGAGAGGGGGGGGAGAGAGAGAGAACAGATGCTGAGAACAAAACAGAGTTGCTAATTTGTATGCTATTCATACCTTGTATGTAAGCACTGAAAATGCCTTGAAAGGCACTAGATAAAAATAAAGATCCTATTTTTAAATCACTGTGCCATGTGTGGCTTTCTCTTTCTCATTCTACTCAGTCACACACACACACACCTCTAGTGTTCTTTTGCTGTGGCTAGCACAGGGAATCTATTCTCACGTGTCAAAGCATAAGTGGCATTATCCAGGGTCCAGGAAGAAAATCAGCTATTCAGGTGTGGGTACAGATCTACAAGATTTATAGTTGTTGACAGTTGGCATGCAAAACCTTGTTATCTCACACAGAGATTAAGGGTTCATGCACCACCACAGGAGAAGCATAAATGCTTGCATGCCCCCCCACAATGTGTCCAGTGACTGTATGATGTACACTTTGTCCAATCCTCCCTCTTTATAAGGGGTAAGGATTGCACAAATATTGTGTTCATACAGATGCATCACATATTATTACTACAGTGATGGAATGGGAGAACTATATGAGCATTCATGCTCTCCTGAAGTGCACCAAAAGAGAAGAAGAAGAGATTGGATTTATATCCAGCCCTTCACTTGGAGTCTCAGAACAGCTTACAAACTCCTCTCCCTTCCCCTCCCCACAACAGACACCCTGTGAGGTAGGTGGGGCTGAGAGAGCTCTTTCCAGAACTGTCGTTGAGAGAACAGCTCTGACAGAACTATGGCTGCCCAAGGTCATCCAGCAGCTGCAAGTGGAAGTGGGGAATCAAACCCGGTTCTCCCAGATTAGAGTCCATACTCTTAACCACTACATCAAACTGGCGCACTTAACCACTACACCAGGGGCCTGCTCTAGTGAAATTCCTAATACTTGTCCTTATACTGGACTGAGTAAGTGTTACAAAAAGTTCAGTTTAAATTCACAAAGACATGTGCTAATTGATAAATTATCACAGTTTCCTTTTGTATAAGTCTTGTTTTCTATTCTACCACCATTCAAATTAGGGTTGCCAACCTCCAGGTGGCATCTGGGGATCTCCTGCTATTATACTTTATCTCCAGATGATCAAGATCCATTCCCCTGGAGAAAATGGCTGCTTCTGGAGGGTGGACTCTATGGTATTATACCCCGTTGAGGTCCCTCCCCGCACCAAACCCCGCCCACTCCTGGCTCCACCCCAAAATCTCCAGGTATTCTCCAACCTAGAGCTGGGAACCCTAATTCAAATAGGCCCACGACAACAAGGATAATTTCTTTGTTCTCATTAATGCCCATTGCTATGGACAGCTATACATAGTAAGGGCTCCTGATAAGGGATGCTGCAATTTTTTCAGCAAACCTGTTTGGCAGACAAACTTACCTTGCTCAATAATGAGGATCAGATTGTGAGCTGATCTAGGATATGTTCAGATTGCATCAAGCAGTTTGAACAGAGGCCAGACAAGTTTACAGAAGCCAACTCACAGTTGAGCAGGGGAGTCACCTGGGACTTTGGTTCTGATCCACTCCCCTTAGCAAAATAGCTGTACAATGAGTTGCAAAATGGAGAGGAGAAAGAGCTTGTTTCTCTTCCTTCATCAGACTAGGGACCTAACTACAAATTACATTTACCACAACCCTAGGTTGGCTCACAAAACCTCTTTTGGAATTCCATGATTTCCAGGTGGACATGTGTCAAATTTGGATAGGAATATGTGCTGCAGCCAGGATAACTTTGGCATAATGTTGGAAGAGTTCTAACCAAGTTTCAATTAATAGCTGGATTCTGAAAGTTAGCGAACTTTGTATGTTGGATAAAATTACAGAATCTCTAAGACAAAAAATCAACGAAAAATATCAATCAAATTTTCTAGCGATATGGTTCCGTTTTTTTGGATTACATGCCTGATAAAAAAGACTATGCTTTAACGTTAAATACAATTCTTGTACTGTAACAGTTGAGTTTGTTCTTACAACTAGTTAACTGTTATTATTGTTGTTGTTGTTGTTTTGTATTTCTATTGTACTGATGTTAAGTGTGGTTGTAATGTGTTGGAATTCTGTTTCAAAAATTGTACTACAGTTATATTTTTGATATATTTGTACTGTATAGTTTGAAGCATTTAATAAAAAGTTACATCATAACAAGTTGACTATAGGATAGGAAGTGTGGTGTGTGGGGACAGTAAGATTATATCTTCCTCTCTGTTCAATGTTCCTGATCTGAAATGGCCCCAGGGAGCTGCTTTTTAGCCCTCTAGTGGTTCTGTGTATAATAATGGGCTACATGATACATTTCCTGGGAAGTACAGAGCATGTCTCTTGAGCTAATCTGGGGACATCCCCAGGGAAAATGTAAGATAAGAAAATTTATACTTTATGCTTAAAGACATAAAGGTACAAAGGCATATATACTTTAAAAGTCCATAAATATACCGAACAGTACGAGTTTAAATGCTTCATGATAAATGAAGCACTTCATGTTGCTAAAACAGTAAAATAAATTTAGGGTGATAGAAAAGTAGTGAATTATTTCATCCCCCCCCTAGATTTCTGCACCCCCTCATGCTTTCAGAAATGTTATATCCCTACCTATGCAAATTTTATGCCAGCCCAAAACATCTGATCACATTGAGTAGTCAATAAATATTTTAAAACAATAACCAAATTATCTAAAATATGGCTGTGGCTCAGCATCAGATAATCTGTTTTGCATGTAGAAGGTCCTAAATTCAATCCTTGGCATTTCCAGTTAATAGGCTCAGGTAGCTGGTGATGTGAAAGACCTCTGCCTGGGACCCTGGAGAGCTGCTGCCAGTCTGAACAGATAATATAGACCTTGACAGACAAGCTTCATATGTTCACATGCATGTGCAATACTGTGTATATTCAAGAACTCCAAAGCACCCTGAAGCGCTCAAAAATGCATTCAGGCATTTGCTTGTAAATCTTTTATACACTAATCATTGTTATATTTACAATGGATGAAAATAGGTTACTATTTAACAAGTGGCAGCAGTAGGCATTCAACCATGTAGCATGCTCTCCTGTTGCATCTTTCAGTGTGGTGAAAGAACTTGTGTTTGACTGCAGATGTCTAGTAAATTTCTAATCACATAGACAGTCATGGCAGATGATGTATTCCTCATGTGGCCGTGTACGCCTAATATGGCAAGGTTATCACCTGAGAAGCATTCTCTATTCATCCAGTGAGGACATTGTAACAGTGCTGAAGGAAATCTCTGTATCTCCCTTTCAACTTGTGGTTATAGGTTAAGCAGCAATGCTAAGTAAGATGTGATACTGTATTTACTATGCAAAAGTACAAGGTACCTCTTTCTACATAGAGCCAGTGTGGTGTAGTGGTTAAGTGTGCGGACTCTAATCTGGGAGAACCGGGTTTGATTCCCCACTCCTCCACTTGCACTTGCTGATGTGACCTTGGGTCAGTCACAAGCTCCGGCACAGCTGTCCTTGAAAAAGAGCAGTTTGTGTCAGAGTTCTCTCAGCCCTACCCACCTCACAGGGTGTCTGTTGTGGGGAGGGGAAGGGAAAGGAGTTTGTAAGCTGCTCTGAGACTCCAAGTGAAGGGCAGGGTATAAATCCAAACTACGACTCCTCCTCTTCTTCTTCTTTGCTGCTGTACTGGGTTCACAGCTTGTCTTTTTGCAATGTGGTCTGTGACAATATTCAGTATTCTCAGGTTCAAAAGTATGTGAATTCACCTACTAATACTGTGTGTACGGAACTAAACCATGACTGTATGTTGGGGGTTTGGGCTGAGAAGGGACCTCATCAGGGTATAATGCCACAGCTGGGGGTCTGGGGTGGGGAGGGACATCATCAGGGTATAAAGTTACAGAGCCCACCCTTCAAAGCAGTCTTTTCCCCCCAAGGAAACTGATCTCTGTAGTCTGGAGATCAGTTCTAATTATGTGAGATCTCCAGGCCCCACCTGGAGACTGGCAACCCTAGTGTGTATGGAGCTTTCACCCCATGCACCTATCCACAGTCCCCAACACAGACTTTTTCTGGTGATTATAGGAGATCCCTCCTCCCTTTTTTGCCACCGCAAAAGCTGGTAGGGTCCAGCTCATTATTGTTCTACCTGATTCTGACTCACCCCATGTTGCTTTTGCTTTATTGTAGTAGGGCCTGACCTTACTAATAACCACACAAAAAGCCTACAGGAAAAAAAAGGCCAGCAGACAGCCAGACCTAAAGACCTGGCACCAGTAAACTCTGTTCGTGTTGCTTAAATAGGATCAAGCACTAATCCTGTTCTCCACACATTAGTCAGGCAAAGTGATGCTTCTGAATCCAATACAGTTGTTAATGTCTTCCCTCCCATGGGGCCTGTATATGAGGGAGTTCTCAGTCTCTCTGACCGCAAAAAGGGGCGTTTTATGAGCGTATGTGTTTGAGAGAGATTGACCAAATGTTTATTTGACAGCTGTACATAGGCTCAGGTCCTGTTAATTCATGCCAGATCAAAGTCAACTCAGGGTAAGCAGGAAGCAGTTACCATGGAAACTAGACTTGGTGCTGCTCAGCCCTGGAGATGCATCCAATCAACGAGGAAAAGTTATAGAGACAAACTAGATGTGTGTCTCTGTCTATCTAAGAAAGAACCATCCATGCATCTGCAGATTCTAGGCATTTATTCAGAAGGAAGTCCATTTGCATTAAATGGGACTTGCTCCCTGGTAAGTTTGCAAAGGTTCGCTGCCTTAATGCATGATTAGGGCAATATTGCTTTTGTCGCAACTTTGTTAGAACTATGCAAGTGAACCTCTGGCTTTGGAGTACAGACTGCACATAGTATCTGAGCATGTAAGAGTTTGGTTCATAACCAAGTTTGCCTTTGTACCTGTCTGAGTGAAATAATGGTTTATGGTATTATAATGACTGTGAAAGAATACATTTTGGTAACCTGTTTTAGGAAAGCCTAGTTCAAAAAAGCTCAGTTTTAGGTGAGTGGAATTTCCACAATCTTGCCAATGATATTGGGGGATAAGTCATTACCTTATCTCAGTGATTTCTGACACTGTTGCTTGGATGCATTTAAATTCCTTCAGCTGATGCTCTTATGTCAAGGTGTGTCAGTAAGGTGATATCCCTTTTTCAAGATTTACGTAGATTAAGTAAGAGTAGGAAAATGAATTTATTACTAGAAGCCAATGATGTTGAGTCAGGAAATGCATAGTATTAACTGTTGCTGAGAAAAACAAAAGAGAAGCTGTATTCTGATGTTTTTATGTTGTGAAATTAATGCATCTGGCCAGTGTCAAGAAGTAAATTTCTGCTTATCTCCCTGCCCCCTCCTTGGTTCTTCAGTTCCATCTGGTTTTCTGATCATCTAAGATAGAGTGGTGAGTGGCAGCTGGTACTGATAACCACATGTTTAGGAAATCCAACAAAATGAAGTGGATATCCATGACAGAAAAAAATAATCAGAGAAGATGGTAAAAATTCTGAACAAGTGTGAGGTAGAAAGAACTTAAATGAACTAACATTACAGAATCTTCAATAAGACCTGATTTTACTGGCAAAGGAAAGACTGGTCTTGTTATGTGGCAGAGGCAAGACTGGTCTTGTTAGGAAAACTATGAAGCAAACAACTTTAGGCATTTGTCAATGCACTGACATTTTGGAAGTTCTGCAAATAGTACTTTACAAGTGGGGGCCCATGAGACTTGCGGGGGGACTCTCATCTCCTCCTGGGCTTCCCTGCAGCCAACCGGGCCCAGCGCAGCCCCCAGGCTACTTCAACATCACCAGGCCCACTGTAGCCCCTGGGCTTTGCTGCTGCCATTGCCTGGCACACTGTGGCTCCTGGGCTCCACCCCACTGGAGGCAGGAGAGTTATCTGCACTTGTGCAGAGAATGCTATTTTACTTTTTGGGGAATTTAATCCCCCATGTATTTTCTGAAGATTAACAGGTTTTAACACTGAACAGGTTTTTTTTGCAAACTTGAGGGGGGGAGGGTTGTCACCCAAGTTTGCAGAAAAATCTGTTTAGTGCAAGCGTGGCCCTGATCTGTGGCTTTATAGTATACAAATATAGTATATAGATGTAATAGTCTATAAAGGCTCTAAGAGCAGGAATTTTGGCATTGTCCCACCTTCTAAAACCAATTTCTAGGATTTACTTTTCTTCATTTACAAATTATAATCTCAGAAAATGTAGCCTGAGACCTGCACCTAGGGTTGCCAACCTCCCGTTGGGGCCTGGAGATCTCCTGCTATTACAATTGATCTCCAGGCAACAGAGATCAGTTCCCCTGGAGAAAATGGCTCCTTTGGAGGGTGCACTCTGCCCAGGCTCCATCTGCTAAAGTCCCTCCCCTCTCCAAACCCCACTCTGCCCAGGCTCCACCTCTAAAATCTCCAGATATTTTTTCACTCAGAGCCAGTAACCCTGCCTGCAACCAGCATGTGCTAGTGCAGATAATGAAAACCCTATGTCATTGAAAGAAACCTTCCAGAACGTTAGAGGACAGATGTTGGGAGCACTGTGAATACACCCCTTTGTGTAGGATGCATGCATGAGCCCCTTCTTAAGCATTTTCCTTCTCAAACAGATCTCATGCTTTGTTTGACATTTCCAGATTGAAAGTATACAATTGGGGTGGTACCACTGACCTTCTTTGCATTCGAGGGCCACCCGAGACTCCAGGTTGTCCATCTGCATCTGTAGCCTCTTGAGGGTGAGGTCATTCTCACGGGACTTGCGTTTGTAGGCAATAAGGACAATAATGACAATGATGAGGAGAAGGCTGCCTCCTGCTGCAATGCTGACAATTGCTGGCAAAGTCAACAGGCTGTCTGAGATCACATTCACTGACCCAGGGGAGAAGTTGATGCCACCTACGTGCACCTAGTCAAGCAAAATACATGAGATTCAGTCTTCAGACTTCACAATGGCAGCCAGGTAGACTTGCAAGACACCTGTCCTCCCCTTCTGATGAGACCCCCCTATCTGATCCCCAGTCTCCTCTAGATTATTTTGAAGGGCACCCTCTTAAAAGTCTAAGGGCAGTGGGGATCCCTAGGATGTCTCAAAAAGCACATCTGGTCTGCCATGACCAAGGCACATTCTGTCACATTGGCAAGATGTCACTGGTATGCATAAAGCATTTACAGCTTCAAGGAATGCATAATACAAGCATAGCCCATGCTTCCAGGGATGTTTCATCTAACTGGGAAGATGAGGAAGAAATACTGGAGAAAAGAATCAAAAAGCTTGAACTATCTGCTACTCAAGAAGAAAAGGAAATGCTAAAATTCCTGGATTACAAGTACATAGACCATGAGCGTCCCCTCCTAATGGTTCTAAATACCCCTCTGCTAACCTGAATGCCAGCTACTCTATGAATGACAAACTGCAATGTCTACTGTAGCTGTTACCTTAGCAGAATTTTTGTTACAAAAAAGAAAAGAAAAAAAAAATAAAGAAGCTGGGCTTCAAGGACTGGTGCCTGACAGATTCCCTGTGCATGTCCCCCATAATTTGAAAATCATTCCCAAAATGCCACAGATGGCTTCAGAAGACACGATATTCTGTTTGTCTTCCAAGACACAGCCAAGGCAATACAAACACTGTCCTCAGAAAGAAAGGGTACAGCATAACTTGAAACACAAGACTTCAAGTTGTGATAAATACTTCATCCTGGTACTATCTCTGACTTTGTTCAGACTATCTGATGGCTCCATTTTACTTTCATTTCACAGGCTTTCGGGTTCCTTTTGTAAACCATGGACATTAGAGACAGAATGACAATTTTGCTGAGGGAGTTTAAATGGAAAACTGAGAAGGGAGAAAAGCAAAATGAATGACGAAGCAGCAAGTCTTGGGGGAAAACCATGGGAATGCTGCAGAATAGACATGTAGATGGTTAATGATGGACTAAGATTTTGGAGAATATGCAATGCTCTCCGATGTATGGAAATGTGGAGAAGCTGAATTACAGTGCTACTGCAACTGGAAGCTGAAAGTATGACATACAAAGCAGGTAAGTCAATAGCTCATAACAAAATATACTTGAAAGATTGCTAAGGTTTAATTATGGAACCATCTTTTGTTGGGAAAAGAAGGTATGTAAAACAAGCAAGCACACAAATAAATAAATAACCATTCTAGCACCACAGGCTTTTCCTTCAGACAAAGACGGGGGGAAAGTGTCCCATGAGAGGCACACAAAAGTTTGATCTGATGAACAATATCTTCTTTGTGGTATTTGTGTTCCATGGATAAATTTGGAGGAAACAAACTGTAACCCAAACTGTATGCAAGCTCTGCTGTCATTCCTCTGATGTTTCCTACCTGATCTCCAGCTATACTGTACACACATGGAGAATGAGGTATCAAATTCAATTTACAGTACTCAGTCCCCAATACTACTCAACTCATGTAGTTGCAGAGAAACGATGTGTGCAAATATTCATTTTAAAACAAGGTATGTTTACCTAGTATTTTGCCACTGTGTCTACTAAAGCTAAGACTAGTGGGACAAAAGACAGAAAAATATTTCAATTAAACAAGTAAAACTATTGGACGTGTATTATCTGACCTAGAATGGATCGTGGAAAATGACAGTTCTTCCAAACAAGGTGACACAACTACAAGTAGACTACTTGCTGACATGAAAATGCCGACAGCAGAGCACCAGAGGCACATCTCAAATAATCATTTAGCCTTAACACAAGCCCCAATGCCAGCTGCCTCCTTTATTTCCTCTGACAACTATATGATTGGATCTAATAATACCAGCTTCAGCATTAAAGGCTCATTCACCTGTGAGTCCACTAAAATAACATCTATGTTCCCTCACTTGCCAGAAATACCTTGTGATGGTGTAAATCAGCTAAATGGGAGCTCCTGTGTAAGAGAAGAAACAGACACAAACCAGGCATTCATACGAGTGTGTACAAAGTGGGAGCATTGCCGTGTCTTGAAACATTGCATCTCTGATCTGTAGAGCAGCATCAAATTAGAAAAGGGAAATGAGGCTGTCTCTATGTTATTGTCACTGTCCCATTTTACATTTTTATTTGTTATCATCTTTTATTTGTTCTGCAATGCCTCCTGGGGGGGGGGGAGCTGATGTTCAGGTGCCCAAGGAGTGTAAGGCTACAGAGATGATATTCATCAACAAATCCGATAGACAACCTGATCCTGGCTTTATCTAGTGCAAAGTGAACTGAAACGACTGAAACCTCCTTCCAACTGAGCTGAGTACCCTGTGCACCCACAGACACTCTGCTGCCTGCAAAAGCACTGGCCACAATAAAGCTTGTTAGGCTCAGAGGTGCAACAGCACTTTTTGAGTTTTCAGAAGTTATAGAGTCTTGCACTTCCCAACTAGCAGTAGCTCAAGCATTATGGCAGATTGGGCTACTACTGCTAAATATCCTCACCCAAAATACATATGATGGAAAAAAGAGAGCATTCATGCATACTTGTGCAATTTTCTGAATTACAAACATACATTGGCTAAGAATGTACCACAAAGGCGAAATCTTGATGTGATGTGCTCTATATGCTCTTTTAGATTTATGTGTGCAAGTTACTGTGGTGGTGAATAAGGCAGTTTTTTGCTGCATCATATTATCAGAGACACACACTTGGGCTTTGCATGTGTCTAGGAAATTTGAAGGCCTTGGGGATTCCTTTCTTCTTTTATATCAAAGTAGATTTTTTAATAATTTCCACTTCAGCAGCTGAGATCGAAGGAAGTACAGAGAGGCGTACTGCTCTGAAATTTCGGTGACAGAAAACACGAAAAGATGGATGGGGGGAAAGTACAATTTTTTGACCTCACCATAACTTTGTGTTGCCCAGTGAGATTTGGAGGCTCACACAGCAGCTGGGTCTCTGAGATAGTGACAGCACAAGCAGTCTCTCCAATCAGAACAGTGTAGTTCAGCTTTGCTCCACCAGAGGCAGGCGGGCATAAATTTTTACCCTGTAGAAATAGGGGGAAAAGATTCTGTGAAAATATAGCAGATGCCTTTGGCTCTTCCTTGATGATCTCTTTCATGCAACTCTAATAATTTTAACAAACAATCCTGTATAAACCTTTATTTCCCAATACACATTTCTGTAATTAGCTGCATAATTTAATGAGATCTCCCAATAATACACATAGGAAAGTACATATCAAAATGCAGGTCTGTTCTATCTAAGCTTGTAATTTTTTGGTCTATTTCTAAGATTAATTTTCCCCCATCATCTTATATACCTTCCTCCAAAATGTACTTACCTTCCACTGTGATGACTGGCAGCCGAGTGCATGACTATGGATTTTGATGGGCACAAGAGGGTATATGTTTTATAAAGAGTTATGAAGTTTTCAGGGGTATTCTTGCAATCTAAGGTACCCTCAGGAATGTGTGAAGATTGTTGGGAGAAAAGGGCATAAGCCAAACTGACTTATTCTGAGTATATATGCAAATACTGCATGGCAGGTACAAGGAGAACAGTTTGTGTATCTGCAATAAACAGGAGCATTTTTAATGGGCTTCCTATTTTACTTTCTTCTTCAGATAGTTTATGTCAGTTCCTATATGTTGTTCCCACTTCCCTTCTCCATTAAGGAGGTTGTCCTCCACCGCAGAGCATGTGTTCCTCCAGTGTTGGGCACTTCCACTAATTCAAGAATAAGTTTTCAAGATGCCAAGAAGTACTTAACATGAAAGGACGCGCTCCACAGTAAAGGACCACCTCTGCAATGGACTAAGTTAGGCACAAGCAGAAAACAGAGGACTCAAGCCTGTATCTTATAATAAGTAATACAAATAAACATTCTGCATCTCTGTACCACTTCCCAGTGGGTAAGCTTTGACACCCTGTGACATGTTTAACATGGGACTGGAGGAGAAATGCTGAGGCAAGAAGTGATCCATCATGCTCACGCAAAATTTACCTTTAATTCCATTGTGCATTTGCTGAACATTCAGAGGTTAGATTCTTAATACAAAGGGAACAGCAAACAAAAGTGCATGGTGCTAAGTTTATAGAGAGGGATGAAGGGGTCAACTACTGTCTGAAGCACTGGTAAGAGAGCTTTTAAAATTCTGCTGAGTGGTGTTCTTAACTAGTATATACAGGCCAATTACTTTAGGGCTTTAGTTCTGCTGTGTAACTCACTGTGCAGTCAGTGTAGGAGCATTTCATGGACTATATAGAAACAAAACCGTTATAGTTGCATTCAGTTCTGGGCATTTCCTGCTGTATAGTTCCTGTCTCAGAAAAGCAGTGTTTTTTGCATTCACACTCTGTACTTAAAATGTACTGTGTGAAGTGGGCCCACACATGGTAAATTCGTGGGGAGATGTATCAATTAGTGAAACGAGGGCAAGATTTGATACAGGGAAATCCCAGAATATGCTAACTCAAATACGCCCAGGTCACCTGGACTGTATGGTCTTCTTACCTTGAGGATAATGGGTGACCCTGGCTTTTGCTCCAGTACACCAGTGGGACTCAGGAGCTCAAAGGTAGGGTTTGGATAGTAGATAAACTTGGTATCATTGTAAATTAGTAAGTGCTGAACATTGTTAAAGATGAAGCCAAACTCATCGGGTCGTTCAACAGCATCCAAACCAGGACGGTACTCTGGGGTAAGGGAGGGAGCCAGACAAGTCAGGGTGGTTGTGTTTACAACTTTGCAGACCTGAAACACAGATGAGTAAGGGTTATACTGTGAATTCATCTTATTCTACATAACATAGGCCCCTGCCACACGGGGGGGGGAGCGCGGGCAAAGTGCGGCTTTTGAAAGTCTCACAAAAATAGACACGCGGCGGTGGGATCATACAGATCCCGTGAGCTGCTGCGCGGTTGCTCCCCAGCACGATCAGATGCCGGGGAGATCGGGGAGAAAGCGACGAGACAGAGACGGAGGCTGCCGAACTGCGAATGTGGGAGCATGCACAATTCGGCCAGGGGTCTTGGATGCACCGGCAGAAGGACGCGCCGGCGATCCTACGGCCGCGCTTGATGTGGCCGTGCTGGTAAGTCCACCTCTGTAGGTGGTTTATTTTAGATGCGGCTTTTCGGCCTGAAGGGCCGGATCGGGGACGGGTGCACAATGTTTCCCAGATGTTGCAGTGGGATCGCGCCCATTTGCTGCACCCCCGATCCGTCCCTCTCCCGGCCCAAAACCTTTCATGTGACCGGGGCCATACTGAAGTAAGTTGTTTCAATCTTGATACATTAGAATTTCTAACACTTTAAAAACTTTTTAGCTCATTCAGAGCAATGTTAAGGATTCAGTAAGGGCTACCTTTGTCAGTTGGTGAATTCTATTTTCCCCAAATTATACTAAAGGATCGGTTATAAGGTTTTTATAAATGGATACTCGACTAGTTCAGTCAGGCCTCTCTCAAGTTCCAAAAAACATTACAAAGATAGCCACTACTTCAAGGAGGCATTCAAAGTCAAATGGCTATCTGAGCCTTGAATTTGTGAGGTAATCTTACCCATGAGCAGCAAATATCATGTGCTTACAAACTATCTTTGGATAGTTGGATAGTTGGAAGCCCAGTTACCACTGAGCTGCCATCTGTCTTTCTGCTGCTGAGATGAGGAGAATGACAAGTTCTTCATATGGCTCAAGTAAGTCCAAATCTTCCATGTGGTATAGCAATGCAATACATGGATGCACACATAGTATATAATCTTCCAACATGATATTAGTAGGACTTGGCATTTTGCTATCCAAGATTTAGTGGACTGTATCCGATCAACCACTGGAGCATCATGTGCAGATATATCCTATGTTTAACTTTTGCCAGCTGTTCCTTTTGGCCCACAGAAAGATGATGCCTGGAATTGCAGAACTCATGTGGACAAATGGCCAGATGAATTGGGGGACTGCAGTAGGGTATGGGAATCAGGCAAAATCACCATCTCCTTTCTCTTCTACTCATAGGGCTTTGAAAGTCAAAAGGGGAAGGGGAATGTGGTAGAAATCTGTGTCCACTAGCAGCTTCTGTTTGCATTTGGCTGGATACAACTTCTTCACCCAAAGAGTGATTAACACATGAAATTCACTACCACAGGAAGTGGTGGCAGCTACAAGTATGGATGGCTTCAAAAGGGAATTAGATAGGCATATGGAGCAGAGGTCCATCAGTGGCTATTAGCCACAAGGTATAGATAGGGGCTCTGGGGCAAGTGATGCTCTGTCTTCTTGGTGCTTGGGGGGGCCAACAGTGGGAGGACTTCTAATGTCCTTGCCCCACTGATGGACCTCCTGATGGCACCTGGTATTTTTGGCCACTGTGTGACAGAGTGTTGGACTAGATGGGCCTTTGGCCTGATCCAACATTGGCGTCTCTTATGTTCTTATTTTAAAACTTCAACATAAATTCAAGTTCATAGGAGCCTGAGGTTGTAAAAAGGGCCTTAGTCAGGTGTAATGCAACCATGGAGCATGTAGGAAGACTGAAGCAAAGCAAGCAAACACAGAATGGATGACAGCAGTTGTCATGTGGGAAAGTTCTGGGAAGGCTGGTTCAAGGTTTTTATGGGCTCTCAACAAGACACTATCCAGTGGGCTCACTCCCAAATGTGGCTTGACACAGAAAACATGGAGAACTCTTAAGCTGCTGAAGCAAATCTATTTGGGATACATGAATATCATTTTCTCAAATCTGTACTGTTATGGTCTCCTTTTGTCCCCAGCTAAGGAGACCATTAGACAGTACTTCAAAATGAAAATAGCAGCAGTACTTCAGAGTCCTGAATCAGAACTGCAACACCCTCTCATCTTTCACATTGCACAGCTGCCTGCCAAATATGCCTTTCAGCTGAACCTATAATTAATGTCTGGTTCTGGTGACAAATCTGAGCAATTTTCCCATACCAGCCGTAAGGAACAGTCAGTTGGTCACAAGAGATTCTGGGCATGACGAAGGCTATATTCCCTTGGTAAAAAGTTGGCAGTCCAAGCAGTTGACTTGTTCCCCTGAGATAAGAGTTCATTATAAAGCAGAGCCTGGCTCTTGCAGCAGGGGTTTCATCAAGAAATCACACCCTGTAAAGTAACAGGAGACTTTTCATTTGGACTCACTCAACAAAGGGGAAATTTAATTTTACCCAACTTGGTATTTAAAGTACAACCTTTTAAATAATAATGAAATAAAAATACATGATCTCTGCCAATTGGCCCATGTGAGCCACCTCTTTCCTTTGCTGGAGCACCCATGCCATGATCTGAAGCCTTTACCTCTATAGCTTGAGCAGCTCTGGAACAGAGAGATACCATGCAGTAATGGTATTTCTTACTCCAGTGCTCAAATAGAACATTTGTAAGCCACTCTGAGACTCTGAGTGAAGGGTGGGATATAAATCCAATCTCTTCTCTTCTCTCTCTATCCAGTTCAGTTGCATATGATATTTACTATTCAGACAATGCAATGCTATGCAGAGTTTTCACTGCTTAGGTTTGCATTACAAAGATATTAACACTTTAGGCAGAGTTTCTGGATCTTGACCTTGCTGCCCTAACTGATGCTTTTTGATTAAGGCACTGGAAGGAAGTATCTGCTAAATGAAACAGCTACCCAGCTTAGACAAAGAGATACCAGACTATTTCCAAGCTCTCATTTAATAGCTTTAGGATATTAGGATATCAAGACTTAGCAACTGTCAAAGTTCTCCTAAAAACTACTTGGTGGACTTTAGCAATGGGCACCTCCCCCCATAAAACATATTTGAGCTGTTAGTAATTACAGGCTTCGTGTATTTTTTAAGTGCTCTCCTCAAAGTGTTCTTGCAAAGGATAACATTAGATACTGTTAACATGTGTGTGTGTGTATGTAGGAGGACCCTACTCAAATATTAAGAAGACTACAGCATTTCTGTAGTCAGTTACATTTCTGGGGAAATTCAACACACATCTATCCACATTTAACCATAGTTAAATGTGTCATCATTCATGTTTATACCATCAAACAGTCAACTGCATATTTCTCCAGATTCTGTTTTTGCAAGAATTGAATAGCAATGGGAAGAGAGAGACCAGCTGGACAAGGCAGCCTGGCCATTCTATTTCATTGAGTTTCTGTAGTGTTCATAAAGAGAATATTTTGACCTATTCAAAGCATCAAATGAGAACAAATAAGGAGGGAGAAGAAAGCTCTAACATCAAACATCAGACCATTTCTCTACAGCTAACATTTGTTTTAAATCTAGACCTTCTGGAGGTGTGAAAATCTCAGCTGCAGTAATGCATTCAGTTAGGTACAGTTAAATTTAATTTATATTCATTTGAGTTGAGTGCATATAACGATGTAGGACTGTAGAAACTATAGTTCCAGTCCTGAGGATTATAGCGAAATGCCTCAGTGGTGTATTTGAAAAGATAATTAATCAGAAGCTGCATTTTAGCAGATTTATGTAGACTCACCTGCAAAATGGCAGGCATCATAAAAGCATGTGGCTCATTTATACAATATCCCAGCAATTAAATCTACATGCTCTTCATCAGTCTGACACCTTGCTTTGACTTCATCACAACCTCAATAGTTTATATCCAATCCTGTCTGAAAATCCTTTTATCAGATCGGAACTTCAAGTGCTGCCAGCGACATGCATGCCTACAAAGTCATGTTACCATGTAGTAAAATGAACAGCTCCTGAAAGTCACTAAAAGGCACCAGCAAATCTGATTTCTTTACAGCATTCCAGGCAAAACAAAAATATTCATATCTATAAAGCATCCAAGAATACCACAATTCAAATTGCTTACAGGGTGTGTGCATGACACATCTATAATGAAAGTTTCCTGCTGGTCATTGACTGTACAGAGGCTTGTAATGCTCCCACAGCATGAAATTATACTGCATCTCCTTCATATAATGCATAATTTTGAATCTAATTCACAGTTTGTTTGTCTGCATAAAACTTCAAGTTTCATGGCAAAGAAAAATGTCAGATTTCTATATCTTTCAATCACTCGTCTCTGTACAATTTACAATTTACAAGTGAGGATGGCTTTAGCTTAAGAGCACTTAGGGCAATATCAATATTCTTATTTATGTATCAGCAATAAGAAGGATAGGGCAAATGGTACAAAGGACAGAGAGAAACAAAGAGGAAAATGCACCATCTTGCATCATCTTGGTTTTAAACAGAGCCTAGCAATAAGGTGTCAAACTAATACTGACCTACAGGCACTTGCATAGAACAGGATGAGATCAGGTGAATCTCATTAGCTGCTAGAGAAAAGGAGAACTAACCTGGGGATGTGACACTTGATTATCGTGCCAGCTATTGCGGTGATTGAGTCAAGGGGGACCACAATTTACACTCTATACCCAAAGATAAACGGTATTACAACACTATTTATTGGCTTTAACTTTTCATGGCAGTTCATAAAGTAAGGGAGAAATGGCTTAAAGGGCCAGCTAGAGCTAATAAAGAGTGATGTATTTTAAAAAATGATGTCATTTTTATATAGGGCTCTGAGTCCCTAAAAAAGCTGCAATCAGGTCCATAAAGTAAAGGTACAAAGTATTCCTCTCACTGTTACAAGCCTATATATCTGAGAGTGCTCCACAATACAATCAGTAACTCAGATCCAGACAAATCACAGAGAACATTCTGAAAATGTGCAGACTCCAAGTGTTACAAAGTAAACCTGTACTCGAAACAGCATTGCACGCA